CACCATCGCTCTACGCCAATATCTTCTTGCCACGTGTCCCCTTGAATAGAAAGTAATTATTCCCCTGAATATTCCTTTGAGATTTTCTGACGAAGTCCACGCGCTTTCTCACGTTCACACCACGCCCCGCGATTACTCTTCACTCGCTGGGTGCTCGATCTGATTGAGTTCCCATTCACTAGGTCGATCATCGACCAGATCTGCTACCATGCTCAACCACTTCCTCCTAACCTATTATTGCTCGACCAACGTGGTTTCCCCGATATTAGGCTCGTACGACCTAGCATAATGGACCGGTTTATTCCTTAGGTATATAATATCCCATATCATCGATTATATTATTTTCGACCCAATTTTTGTAAAATTCCAGTCCATGTACTATGTTGTTTATGTGAGCCCAAACAAATTTATTTTCCAGCATTTTGTTATTAAATCCTGGCCAAATATATTAAATGATTTCAGCCCAAGTTAATTAAACCCCTTGGCCTGTTAGAATTGAATAGCAGCGGCCCTTTTTCCTTTCTTCTTCTCCGCGTGGGTGAGATAGAGTCTTTCAGTTCAACAGCCGCGCGATTCTTTTGGGTGATCTTCCTCGCACGAACCGCTCGTCGTTCCTATATATCGGCCAAGCGAGAATCATACTCATCTCCTCCCTTCATCATTTAAATTCGCATCAACTATAAAAAAAAGAAAAATCAAATCAGTCGCACCTTCTTCTCCGGCGACCACACCTCTGAGCAGACCTGCCGTCGCCGACCTCACAGCGCCAACAGCAATGACCGAGGACCTCTCACACGCACAATGTGCTGTCGTCGCTGTACACTGACCCCAACGCCGCGAGCCTGCTTCTTCGTTCAGACCCGTCGGAGTATTTCCGACAAGAACCTGTTCGTCGGCGTCCCTGGTCCAAGCAGGCCGTTCATTGTCAATTTTGAGTCTCTCTGTTCGTGAGCATCGTTGTGTTCGAAGTTTCGAAGTTCGAGGCCTCGTTCATTCCATTCGTTCGACCCGTTTTCCAAAATCTCATTGATTCTCGAAGACGGGTAACCTTTTCGAACCACCCTGTTATATTATTCATGCTCGTGATTTCGTTGGTTACGCGCTCGTTGAATTGATGTCCTACCGTTAAATTGGTTTGTTGATCGGTTTGTATTTGTTCATTGGTGTTTCGTGTATTTTTCGTGGATAATCAGACTCTCGTTTACTAAAATATCGATCCTTACTAAACCGAGTATCTTTGTTATTGTTATGGATTTGACGTATTCAGAGTCTCGATTTTATTTTTTGACTCATCTCGTTTGGTTTTGAGCCGGTTATGTCATTTCTTTTTCGGCCCGAGGAACTCAATTTTTATAAATGTTCGAACTCTGAAAATATATGATTTCGAAAATTTTATGATGTCTCAAAACTGGTTGCTGTGAGATGTTTTCGTTGAAATCCATCGCTAGAAAAAAAATTTCTGCCTCTGTTCGTTTGCTTTCTTTCCAGACTCTGTTCCCAGTTGAAGTCGTACAGACCATGTATTTTATTCCATGTTTCATTTTATTTCGCAACGAGGCATGTGGTGCAGTGATGTTTGACGCTCAAGTGTGTGGGTGAGGTCCCGTGTTCGAAGCCCGACGCCAGCAGCCCATTTTCCTTTTCTTTTTCCCCCAGCCGCGTCCTTCAGCTTCGGGCCGCGGGGCCCGGTGTCTCTCTGCGCACTCAGCCCGCGTCCGGCCCTCCATAAGCCCGCGAATCCAGTCCATGGGCAGGCCCTCTGCGGCCCACTGTTTGCGCACGCGGCCCATTCTTAGGCGTCCCAGTTCGCGTGGCAAGGCCCAAATTGCGGACAACTTGTCCAATCAGTTATTCTTAGCCAGCGTTGAGTTCCGGAAGCCTGTTTTTAATACCTATTTCAATTTTAAAAATATTTTCAAAATGAGAAAAATTTGGGGTAAATTATTTTAAGTCCCAAGACTCTATTTTCGTTATCCGAGTCTTTTCTTTTAAAAATTGAGAGTTCCAAGTCCACGAGAAATACGATTAAAACCCTTAAGCCTTGATCTTGATTAAGTGTGGGTTTTATGTTAAATCCGAGTAGTGAGATAAATTATTGATTATTATCTCTCTTAAATGTTGGTGTTTGAGGAGTCGAGCCCTTGACCTACTTACCTGCTAAACAGTGTGATATTCTACCTCGATTTCCAGGCGGGTTCGCTATTCTAAAATGTCTATGCCATATGTGTGTAAATGTGTTGAATTGGTATGATCTATTTATGCATATGAGCATGTATCCTATCGATGTGAGTTGTTAGGGCCGTCGGTACGGTTGTCCCCGTCGAGTTACGGTACGGTGCCTTTGTGTGGCAATCTCCTTAAGTCATGATATGGCCGTTCCCTTGTGAGGTACGTAAGCCCATATGGAAGGCCGTGTCCGTAGCGTGGCATGTACTCCCGCCTTCGGGTAATGAATCCCCGTTCTGCGGCTAGCGATAGATGTGCGTAGGAGTAATGTGAATTGATGTGATATTGTGTAGGTGATGAGACATGTTGTTATTGTTTATGTTCATGCTGCGACCATACCATCTTAACATATTATATATTGTCCATATGCATAGTGGTGAGCACTGCGGGTTCCATTTGTGCTCACTCCCACTTGTCTCTTCACGGATTCAGGTTAAGCAGGTGACGGATGACGAGGCAAAGACGAGTGGGTGGTCACTTATTATTGTTTATGCTTTCGCTTATGTTGAATAATTGCTTGGTCTTTATGAACCTTGTTTGGTTGATACATGTTGAACTGTTTTTCAGGTTAATGAAAACTATGTGAAAACCGGGTAATGAATCCCCGTGAGTCTAGATAAGACTTGAACTATGTGAATATTGTTGAATAATGCCCATGATGTCGAAAACGACTTCGAAAATGTTTTATTGATTTTTTGAAAGTCCGGAATTTCTTTAAAAATCAAAGTGGGGCGTTACAGGTGGAGGGCATTGACTATCATGAGACGTTTTCACCTGTAGCCAAGATGGTTACTGTACGGACTTTTCTTGTTGTTGCAGCTGCTCGACATTGGGAGGTTTATCAGATGGACGTGCACAATGCATTCTTACATGGGGATCTGTCTGAGGATGTCTACATGAAGCTTCCTTCTGGTTTTCATTTGCCTGATCCTGGTAAGGTGTGTCGATTACGCCGTTCTCTGTATGGTTTAAAGCAAGCTCCTCGGTGTTGGTTTGCGAAGCTTGCTTCTGCTCTACGGCACTATGGTTTTTAGTAGTCATATTCTGATTACTCATTGTTTGTATTTCATCGTGACTCATTGAGTTTACATGTTCTCGTTTACGTTGATGATCTGATCATTTCTGGAAGCGATCCAGTCGCTATTACTGCCTTTAAGGATTATTTGGGTCGCTGTTTTCATATGAAGGATTGGGGTTTGTTGAAATATTTTCTGGATATTGAGATTGCTAGGAATTCTTCGGGAATTTTCTTGTGCCAGCGGAAGTACACTCTTGACATTGTGACCGAGACCGGTCTACTTGGCGGTAAACTGGCGGATTTTCCCATGGAATAGAATCACCAGCTTCCCTTAGCAGACGGTCCTCTCTTTTCTGACCCTGAGGGTTATCGGTGTCTCGTTTTGCGATTGATCCATTTGATAGTTACTCGTCCTGACTTGTCTTATGCGGTTCATGCTTTGTCTCAGTTCATGCAGCAACCTCGTCAGGTCCACTGGGATGTTGCTCTTCGGGTAGTTCGTTATTTGAAGGGTACTCCGGGTCAGGGTATTCTTCTTCGTTCAGATTGCGACTTGCAGATTTACGGTTGGTGTGACTCTGACTGGTCGACTTGTCCCACTACATGCCGTTCTCTTTCGGGCTGGTCTGTCCAGCTTGGTCATTCACCCCTTTCTTGGCGCACCAAGAAACAACACACTGTAGCCCGGTCTTCTGCCGAGGCTGAGTATCGAGCTATGGCGACCCTTACTTGTGAGTTGAAATGGTTGAAGGGTTTACTTCACAGCTTTGGCGTCGCTCATTCTCAGCCCATGCGGATTCATTGTGACAGCCAAGCAGCTCTACACATTGTTGTTAATCCTGTATTTCATGAGCGCACGAAGCATATTGAAGTCGATTGCCATTTTCTTCGTGATGCTCTTGTTCAAGGTCTCATTTCCACCGCTCATGTTTCTGCTCATTTTCAATTGGCAGACATCTTCACCAAGGCCTTGGAAAAAATGCGAGTTTGATTTTTTTCTTAGCATGTTGGGCATCCGGAATCCGCATGCTCCAACTTGAGGGTGGGTGTTAGAGTGATTTTGTGAATATTGTATTTTTTGTATAGATAGAATTTGGTATCTTTGAGATTTGGTGTAGATTGGTTTTAGGGCTTCCTTTGTATCTTTATATATTCAGCTCTTGTGAATCTTGAAAAGCAAAGTTTTGGAAAACGAATTAGTGTTCACATATTTTGTCAATAATGATTCATCATGAGATTTTAGAATTAGAACCCATTTAACTGTTCATTTTTATATGATTGAAAACTCATTCCGGATGGAACGATAATTTATTCTTATTGAAACTTATTTTAAAATGTCTCCAAGAACTTAGACAATATTTATAAAAAATGGTTTGGGAGAACTATTTTAACTTATTACTAGCAAACTTTGGCTGTGCAAGCACAGCCGGCCCACGGCGGCAAAGCGATGGGCCCACGTCTCTTGGAAGTATTTAGGAGTAGTATTGTTCGTCGATTGATTGGTTAAAGGTATGGGAATTGCTTAGTAGAGTGTCAAAATAAACATTAGTTTGAAATTTCCCGCATAACCAATAAAGTCAGCATAAGAAAGTGGCAGTTTACAAAAGATGCCATATGTCAAAACAGATTGACAGAATTGAGGAACATCTATTTGAAAGTAGATGTTTACAATTCTGTTAAGTTGCAAAAAAGGCAAAAAGGATGAGTTTGATTGTTGTTATGTCAAGCAAAAGTACAAAAGTCTGGTGCAAATGATTTAATCCATTTTTGGGCGACTTTTCTTGTAAGGGCTTGTGGCAGTATTTTGTGTTGGTTGTAGTGTTGACCGGGTTGGAGTTGAGCTACTTGTTTGTGTGGTGTCTTGTTGGGCGTCAAAGTTGATTCGTTTCTTGGTTGAGCTTTCTGGAGTTGGCACATTTGGTGACTTTTCGATTTTGAGGGCGACAGACTCGAGCACATTTTTAAGTGTTGGGCTGAAGAGAGTTGGATCTGTTGCCTGTTTTATGGGAATTATAAATTATTGTAATATATTTTTTCAGCATGAATTGGTAACTATAGAATTTATTCTCTAATACCTTGGAGGGGGCTGCTGTAGAACTTTCTTTTCCAGACGACTCTGCTGTAGATGCATTTCCTTGAAGCATCATCATTTGAATACTGTAAAGCTTGACAACTGTGTGGTAAGCAGATTCCGATTGTTTTACGAAGCAGACGACTTTGTGGCGTGCGACTGATGCTGCAATTTCATTAGTTAAATCACGACCCTGCATAGAAAATTTGATGCAATTGGTGAAAATTGGTTGAATTGCTTCTGTCTAAATGTTTTAAATTTAATAATCTGTCAACAAAATATAAGTGAAGTTTAATAGTGTCTATGTTTAATTAACTAAAAATATTTGTCTTTTTGCTTATAACAAATTTAAACAGTTGGCTGTAGTATAAAATTTAAAAGGGTGAGTGGTAAAGTTATTTATGAATGAGCTGATATTTTATGCAGTAGTCATATTTCTTTAAAAAAAATTAAAAACAATAGTTGTAAAATTGTATATAATTGGTTTCTGTATAAGTTGAAAATTGTATATGTTTAGAATGTATGCACCTGTTGGTCTGCCTCAAATAGTTGATTGCCGCTATAAGTGATTAACCGTTCTGCATCCTCGCCATAGATTACAGCATTCATAGTTCCATTTGATCTTGGATTGTTATTGGCAAGCGGCACCTAATATATTTAAATAGTTTTTGTATTAAGATCTAAGTTTATAATGATGCTTCTTTATTTACTGTAAGGAAAAATGCAAACACTACCTTGCTTCAACGTGAGAGTCCTCGCGACAAATACGGCATTTCATTGGGGTGTTGGGGAGCATGTTATAATTCTTACGACAAATGTGACATGTGGCTGTTCACAAAGGCCTGTTGTCGTTAATGAATTTGATTTTTCCGCTAATCCAACAAGTTTTGACCTGGATCAATAGTTAAAAAAATAAATAAATACGTAATGTTGTTGTATAAATTGAGTAAATGTTTAGTGCTTACACTTCGCATCACTGCGACGGCATTGTGGACAGTGACTATAGCAGTCATCTCAGGCATTGGGATGAGCTTGTCTGTATTTCTGTATGTTTCTTCGATCACAAGTTGTGTGACATGGTTTTTGTTCTCAATGTACCTGTTGAGTGTATGAGGATGTGAATCTAAATGTATTTAAATTGCTTATAGCTATATTAATAAACCCAATTTAGTTTACCACTGCTTTAATTCAGCTGCTGCAGCCATTGGTGGATTTACCATTAAGCAGGCTCCCACTTTTGTAGACAATGACAGACCTGCAGACATGAATATAGTAAAAAAAAAATCTAGGAAAAAGAACAAAAATGTCAGTTTTTTTTTATTTTCAGTATTTTTTGTTATTTGTTATGGAAGTTCAAACTTTAATATATACCGTTAAATGTGGTAACTTTAATCCGCATAGCAAGAAGAACATTTCCAGCTGCTACTGTATTAGCTAAATGCAGACCTTCATCATTTTCAAATTGGTTCCATAATGTTAAAAGCATTGGTTTCTCTCTGCAAAACAATAAAATCTAAGGCAAGAGTTTTAAGATATATTTGAATAAAAAAGTTCTTACTCTTGATTCACAATGACTAAGTCTCTTGTTTTGTTGTTTTTACCAAGATTCCTCACTGGGAAAGCATGCACAACAACTGCTAAAAGGCCTGTTATTGTTCGTAAAATTTTTGTGGGTATTTGGTAACCGAGTTACCCGACCTCGGGTCGATCTCAAGGAAGGTCGTTCGGAGTTTTTTTTTTTTATTTAATTGTCTAAATACAAAAATGAGAAAATAAACCTAAACATTCTAATCCATTTTTGATGTGGTTTTATAATTAACTAAAATTCTTAATTTAATTTAACAAACATAAAATGAAAAGAACAGTGAATAAACAACAGTAAAATAATAAAAATGGTAAATAGGTAAAAAGAATAAAGATGAGAAAAGTGTTAGGGAATCGGAAAATAATTGTATCAATTCTAATGATAACTTATTGTTAATCATTCGGTTAAATGATTCGACAAACACACTAATTTAGAGGTTCATATTCCATTCAGTTACGAGTAAGAATATAAACATAAATCAATGTATTCGCGTACCACTTAACATATAAGCAATACAGTTACGTGTAAACTTATTTATTTCGAGCCGTGATCAATCAACTTCGCCATTTTTGGGTTAAAAGTCGATTAAGTAGATTTAAAAGAATGTTTAGTTCTACTTAAATCATAAAAATAAATATAACTCGAAATAATAAGAACAATCAACAATTCGTCATCATCATCGAACCGACACAATCATTTCCCTATCCCTAACGAAGGGTTTAGTTTGTCATGATTTTATTGACACAAATAATAAGAATAATCCAAGCTATCATTTTACTCATAAAAAATTTTGAACGATAACTTACGATTACGATTAAAACTTGACGTCAATATATCACTTAGAACTTTTAGGAAAATGAAAATAAACAACTTACAAGATTAAAACCAAGCTTGCATGCAAAGATCAAACTTGAAGAATATCAAGAACACTAAGAACACTAACTCGAAATAATATTTACATAGAAAAGAGAAGAAAAGTGAAGTTGTGAAATAAGTGAAAGAGAAGAGAGTATTTATAGGGAAAAAAATAGAAAACTTGTAATATAAGAAAAGAAAAATGTGGAAAAGATGATAGGAAAAATGGGAAAGAAGATGGGAAAAATAGGAAAGAAAAAATGTAAGAAAAGGTGAAAGAAGATAGGAAATTTGAGAGAAAAGTTGGAATTTTCGGACAAAAACCGAAAGTGCTTTTTCCGCGCGCATTCGCGCACGTCTCGGGCGTCTTTGCTTCTCGGGCTCGTTTTGGGCTCGTCCGAACTCGGAATTGAGTTCTGTTTTTTTCTACGCGTTGCTAACGAACCCCTCTATTCAATGATGTATGCCAATAAAAATTTCACCCAGAATACAATTATCTAAGGATTTTTAACTTCCAAGGTGTCGGCAACTCGCTCGATTCGCTTCGGTCCCGTACGAACTCATCCGAACTCGAAATCGAGTTCCACTTTTTTCTGTATGTAGCTAACGAGCTCCTCTTTCCATTAATCTGATCATGCCCAATAACTTTCCAAAATCTTGCTCTTCCGAGATTTTCGACCGTTTCTTTATTTTACAAATACTCGAAAAATACAAAAAAAATATACAAAAATACACACAAATACTTAAATATTACAAATCACTAAAAAACTAAAAACTACCCAAAATCCCACAAAATTACTAAAAATACATAAAAATAATAATTAAAAACATAACAAAAATAATACTAACAGTTATAATGAGCATTTTGTTAATGAGCAGGTAGGTTGAATTCTTTGTTGTTTGTTGAAAGGTAAAATAAGAGTAATTGGTTAATAAGTAATCTGTGTATGCATAATTTACTCACTTCTGGGGTTGTCTGTGTCTGCGTACTTGTGTATGTCTGCAAAAGTGTGAATATCAATGTGGCATGGAAGTTGTGGAGGCAGGGACTCTTGGTCTTCTTCGACATTAGTTCCAGAAACTATAAGCCAGTTGTATTTGTAGTCACTAACTTGATATAAAGGAACCTCGGGCCAAACTTTTGCTCCAGATAGGTAGTATCTCTTGTATGGCATAAGAAGTTCATCAAACTCGTTAATAACAGCATTATAAACAACCGCAGAAACTTTTGTCCCCTGCAATTTAAAAGAAATTATTAACAGTAGAAAAATATATGTATATTAGTCTGTATGTAATTTGGTGTATAGATTTACTATTATACACTTGTACCTCCTCATCTGTAAACAAATATCTACGGTAAAGCGTGGACGTGTTATTTTTGCTAGTCTGAACAGGTGGTCGTTCAACAACTTGAATTAGTGCAGTCCAGTTATTTGTTTCATCTGAAATCTGGTGAATCGGCAGATACACCCGCGACATTATGATCTGCGTATATTAAAAGTGACAGTGAGAAGATACATAAGTTGAAATAATATTTATGATGATATATTATGAAAGTAATCTAAAAGAAACTACTGAGCCTATTTTTGAATCAGAACGAATACATAAGTAAGTACTTTGTGTTACTGCAGCTATATCAAGAACTTCATGGTATACAATGTTTTTTGTAACATCAATGCGTTGTGGATCAAAGAACGGTGGTTTAATCACAAATTTGATGGCTGTAGATTGTTTTGATCGTGATAAGGCTACATATAGTTGTCCATGCAAAAAAATTGGTTCTTTAAAATAAATACCTACAGATTCTAGAGTTTGACCCTGTGCTTTGTTAATAATCATAGCAAAACAAAGTCGGATGGGGAATTGTGTTCTTGTGTAAGGCACGGGAATTTGGTCATCAGATGAAGGTTTTAATGGTAATCTATGAATAAAGACACTTTTTCCTTTGAAGTCTCCTATGGCAATTTCTGCATGAATAACATTTCCGCTTAGTTTTTTACAGATTAGTCTTGTTCCATTACATAAGCCTTCTGTAGGATCTAAGTTTCTAAGAAGTATAATAGGGGCATTGACCTTTAATTGTAGTTTATGAGGCGGCATACCACCAGGAGTTAAACTATTTATTATATCTTCATAAAGACCTCTATGAATAGGGTTTAACACTTCATCAAAACTTAGATATTCAACCATTTCTCCTGGGAAATCATTGATGAGTCTATTATTTATTTCATCTACAAAGCAATTTTTAGTAGACAAAATAGCACTGTTCATAGGAAAATTTACCTCAATGTTATTTATAGTATTGCTTTGACTGCTATTAGGTATATTGTTAACATAGAACTGAGGGTAGATTATTTTGATTAGTTCCTCCAGAGCATTTTTCAGTATCAGGGGCTTTAACTATAAAGGAAGAAGGCAAATATATTGAATTGTTATTATGCGTGGGTTCTATCCCATTTCCAATCCTTAGCAAATAATCTGTAAACATTGGATCAAGTCGATTTCTCATATTTTGTGTTAATTTTATTTTTTCAAGTATTAGCCAAATACAAGAATTTGTAATACATGCATCTATAGTATCATGTTTATTTACTCTACGAACAACAGGTAATATTTGTCTAAAATCGCCACCAAAAACAATTACTTTACCTCCAAATATTTTGGTAGAGTCTGTTATGTCTTTAAGCATTTTATCAAGTGCTTCAATTGATGTTTTTTTAGACATTAGCGTTTCATCCCATACAATTAATTTACTTTCTCGAATTAAATTTGCTAAATTACTATGTTTGTTGATCTTACATGTTTTTCCTTCAGACATATTGATTGGTATTTTAAATCTTGAGTGTGCTGTTCTACCACCTGGTAGTATAGGTGCTACAATACCAGAAGTAGCGGTTGCTAGTGCTATATAACCTCTGGACCTAATGTCAGCTAAAAGAGCTCTGTACAAAAATGTTTTGCCAGTTCCACCTGGCCCATCTATAAAAAAAGCTCCTGGTTTTTCACTATATATTCGTTCTAGTATATGGAGAAAGCGTTTTTTTGTTCCTCATTTAGCGATTTTACAGCATTTAAATCTTCTTCAGAAACAGTTATATTTGTTTCAGCTGTTATTTCTCTATTGTTATCCTCATCATGTAAATGAATATTATCAGGTAAAATATCGAATGAATGAATATTTCTTCCCATAGATTCTAGGAAACCATTGATTTGTTGTAAAACTTTTTTTCTAACATCTATTTTACTAAAATATATGTTACGTGTATAGTCTTCCGACATAGCATCTTCATATTTGAAGAATAGTTCTCTAGGGTTGTTAGGACATGAATAAACCAGAAGATTAACAAAAAGTCTTCTCATTTCATATGGCATTTTAAAAATGGATTCTTGAAGGCAAAGATCTTGAGTATTATCATCTTGTAAGAGGCCTCTTGAAAGATCTGATTCACGATAAGTCGAAGCGACTCTGCCATTAAAGGTTTTAATGTCTATGTAAGATTTAGGACCTTTAACGTGTAGCAAGAGCAACTTAAGATAATATCTCTCTCCTTCATTTGGATGTACAGTTACAATTCTACCTATAGAATCTTTTCCACCTCTTTTTTTTCCATTTTTTTTCTTCAGATAACCAAACAAAGTACTCAGGGAACTGCACATATGTTAAATTTAGGGATTGTGCATATTCATCATTTCTGTTCATATAAAAAAATTCAGTTAGCATAGTTTTATGATTCCTTGGATTATTTACAATTCTATCCAGCCTATCTTTTTTTTTTAAGTTAATTTTATGATAATTTTCTAAATGAACAGGTAAATTAATAACAGAAGGTTTTATTTCACTTATTGGGAACCTGAAAATCCTCCATAGTGGAGAAACCCAGCGTGCTGTTCTATATTGTTCAATCTCATCAACTTGCACATTTTGATTAGATGTGTCAACATAAAATGCTATTCTATCATGACCTTTGCAAATGTATTTATAAATATATTTAACAGAGCGGATTGTTGAACAAACCTCTACATTAATATGGCAGTTGAATTTTGCAAGTAAATATGGATTATACGGCACAACCCATCGATTATCCAACATTTCCCCTCGAACTTTCACTCTAACATTATTATTTCATCTTTGATATTTTGGATATGAATTACTTATTTGAACAGTTCGATCAGAAAAAGGTTTTGGATAATTAAATCTGCATTTGTTTTTATTCGTCATACATGAATTACCTTCGTTTAATTCTCCACATGGACCGTGCATCATGTGTTTCTTAACCATGTTGTATAGATGAGGCTGTAATGTTTTATCTGGTATTTCACCACAAACTATTTTATCAAATTCTTCAGGGTTATATAATTTATTTTCATTTGCAAGTATAATAAGCATGTGCGCATGTGGAAGTCCTCTTTTTTGAAACTCCATAACATATGTGTAAGCAACTACTTCCTCAAACAGATGTTTTTTAAGGATGTCTTTTTTCAGCTCTTCAAGTTTAGCACGAAAGACTCTTGCCACTAAATCAGGCCTGTTATGTGCTTCTTCGTTTTCAATTAAAAGTTCTTTTATTTCAGGCCAGCTGGGATTACATGTCATAGTCAAAAAAATATCTGGTTTACCAAATCTTTGTACTAATGTCATTGCATCTAGGTATCTTTTTTTCATGTTTCTTGGACCTCCAATAAAAATGGCTGGCAAAAATATTCTTTGACCTATTTTTGATGCATTTGTTTCACATGCTGCTACACTATCTTCTATTCCTTGTAAAAATTCTTGTCTAATTTCATTTTGTTGTATCCTAAAGTAATCTAATCTTTGCGACTCAATTTTGACATATACATCAACTATATACTGCTGAAATAATTTACCAAAATTCAATAAATATGATTTATCATTTTGCCTGATTTGGAACTTATAGGCATAGTAGTCTCTCTTGGAAACAAAATTTCTACTCCCCCCTGTTTTACTGTTAGCTGAAAAGAGAAGTATTCTATATGTTAGTTTTACCTTAGGGAACAAACAATATACTTAAAATATTTCTATAAAAAATATTATAGCTTAAAGTATGTTATATGGTTGCTTACCATCTTCTGCTTCGAGTAACTCGTCAACAGATTCGAGAAGTGTAGGTGAAATTACATGTAATGTTCGATTTACTCGTGATGTATTTCTTGAAACAGTGTTTGCTAATTTTTCTATACCCCGATGCCAACCAAGTTTGCCAAAAGGAAAAAGCAAAGGATATTGCAATGGATCATAACAACCAAAGTAATATTGTATTCTATGCGAAATACCGCTATGACTATATATTCGAATGTTTCTCTCAGATGGTTCTTCACTGTCATCACTTTCAACCCATAAGGCTGCTACTTGAGATGATTCTGGTTTATTATAAACTCTTTGGTCAAGTTTTGGTAAAGTGCGCAGCACTATTTTATAATTATCAAAATTGGATAGTTCACTAAGACTTCTGAAGAATTTTGCGTAAGGATTTTCTTTTAGAACAGTCATGATTTTGTGGATTATAGATTCTGTTAATCTAGGGCAAGCTTTCAACCAATTGGCAACCTCATTTTCGGTATCATGGAAATACAATTGTAAATTTTGCGAGGCTTCTAATCATTCATAAAATGATACATTTGACCTTGTATTCTAAAAGTGTAAATCCCTTTATCACGCCTAGTTAAATTGTTATCACATTTGACTCCTGATGATGTAAAGGCAAATTGGTTATTGATAGTTCTTATGCAATCACGAAACAATTTAGATTCTTCTGTTGATGATAAAAGTAATGCTTTCAAAATATCTGGCAAAGGATTATTTGCTAATTTAATATTTCCGTCTAAACAACAAAACTTGCTTGATTCATATTGAAACTTAACAACATTGCAATATCGACAATTCCTTTGTTTAAAAAGTTTAAAAGGTTCACCTGGAATGTTATTCCAAAGGGCCCGACGCGGGGGTTGAGTATTACCTAATACAAATATAGATCAGAGTTATGTTTTATTCAGTATTCTAAATTATTTCCTTTAAAAACTTTTGCGAACTTTGTTCATTACACTATACCTGTTGGTCTTGATCTAATATTAGTAGAGGGACCTGTTTAACATACATTAAATGAGANAAAAAAAAAAAAAAAAAAATTAGTTAGATAGTTATAATGTTTGACGTTTTTATTAATAAATAATTACCTTCGCCAGTGTATTACTGAAAGTTTGCCTGGTCGACAATCCCAGATGCTGAAGTTATAGTTCTACGGGTTGTTTGAATGCCTTTATTTTTTTTATTTAATGGTAAAACAACTTTGTTTTCAGAACATGGTTGTTTATTTTTCTGACCTCTTCCTTTTTCAATTTTATTTGCTTTACTTTTTATGGGACTGAATGTAACTGGAGAGGTATTTTTAGTTGTAGGTTTATCAGGTGTCTTATTCAGAGTTTCTTTAGGTAATATTTGCTGTGTATAATAAAAAGGATTTTTTGTGACTTGGTAGCTTTTACACTGCACAACATCTATTGATTTGTATGCATGTAAAGTAGTGGAATTATCTAACATATTTTCCTTAACAGCATTTCCAGAAGTGTAAATTGGTAATCGACGCATATCTTGAGTTGCAACCACAGCTCTCCTTTTTTTTTTTCTTTCCATCTTTGAATAGCATAATAGCGATATCTTTTTTTAGAGAGAATGATTTTAGAGGTAGAAAGTTCAGCCGGTCTATTGTTTTCATGAGATTGAAACATGTCTAAAAAATTTATTTATACAGCCTAAACTACCAAAAGCAGATTAAACTACTAAGTTACCCAAAGATCTAAAAACACTAAATGCAGATAAACGTAGATTTATCCTGAAAGTAGTTAAGAAACAAAGGTTCTAAGTTGCAGAAAAGGCTATTATTGCAATTCAACCATGTAATTAACTACCATATATATTTATGAGAACATGCTACTTTCTAATAGTTCAATATATGCACATTAAAGAGCATTAAAACCAACAAACACTGCATAACAACCTAGATATCAACATATAGTCATAAAAAAACAACACTACAGCAGTATAGACAATCACACATATATAAAATCAAATACATAACAAAACAAATAGGACATGAAGCAGTAGGTTTGAAAAATCACTGACGAACCTGATTGCAAGAACTGGACAATTGTGACAGCGTTCCTATTTATCTGCGAATATGCCAAGAAGTTTAAAGAGCAATAACCTACAAAAAAATAATATGATTTAGTGAAATGTAAACATTACTAAAGGATAGAATAAATAAATCAGTGATCATACACCTACAACTACAAATATACAGAATGCAAGCAACTTTTTCACTGGACATATAAACCTAAAAAACAACTCAATTAGCAAAAAACCGAATGCTAAAAAACTACAACACCGACTTAAAAATTAGCAAATAACAGAACCTTAACAAAGAAAAAATGACTTCATCGTACACCTATCATGTATTTAGATACTAATTTAAAATTCATATGTTTATTTGTTCTGATAAAATTAGATTAGTCTTTAATAGATACAGGCAGACCACATACTGTAAAAGTAGAGACTTTTTTTCTTAACATATAAAGAAACATGAAAATATGATTTCAACATAAAGTAAAGATGAACAGAAGTTAATATTAGATTTTTTATATTTCATGTCTTTAGTAGATCCATTTCCAGACAAAATCCACCAGTTTAAAAAAATTTTACTAACATATACAAAGAAGCATCTCCAAGATTACACTACACTGTCCTCTGTTTCCCAAAACATCATGAAAAAGAACATGTCTTTAGTAGATCCATTTACAGACAAAATCCACCAGTTTAAATAAATTTTTACAAACATATACAGAAAAGCATCTCCAAGATTACACTACACTGGCCTCTGTCTCCAAAAACATCATGAAAAAGAGCAAATAACTTAGTGTGGTTCAATCAAATCATCAAGGAACATATAAAATAATACAATGCCTAATTTTAAACTCTTACAATACAGATAAGCTAACAGGCGAAAAAAAAACCCCCTGCAAGTAGATATCTGAAGATCTCATTGTAATGATGATGATGATGTCATCCGAAAGTTCTGGTGCTTCTTTACACCCCCTTAATTTAAAAAAAAAAAATAAAACATACATAATGGCACTTATTCAATCGAATATATCATAGCAAGACTAAGCAAAGCTAAAGCAAGTAGAGTAATCAATTAAAAAATTGTGAATCAAACCAAACAAATAGAGGCTAATGGTAAAGAGTAATCAATTAAAAAATTGTGAATGAAATTGAAAACCAAAGAATAAAAGAAAAAAACAAAAACGATTTTCCCTGTTTTTTAGGCCAGCTCTACTATTGACGCCGCATCCTCGATTGAGCGCTCCGTCACCTTCAAGAGAAAACCGAAAACTCAAACAATGCACAACTTAAATCACAAAACGACTGTTTCAATCTTAATTAGGTATTCATTGAATGCGAATATAAAAAAACAGCACCCAGAAATTACTTCATCTTCACCGCAAAAAAGGGCAAACGTAAATACAATACCTCGTAAAAATGTAGAAACCCTAGGCACACCTAATTGTGAGAAGAAGGCATCGGCAAGCAGAGGACGGGAAAAAAAAGCGAAAACGTGTAAAAAATAAAAGCATGAAAACAAAGAGCCCGACATCCAAATAATTGAGCCCAGCACGACGCCGTTTCATCCTAATATCACAACGACGTCGTTTCCTCGCAGGCCATAGTTTTTAAAAAGACGCCACGTGGCCTTATGAGAATGAGGCTTTCAATCTTTTTATAAGTAAGAGTATAGATAGATATAGATAATGTAGTCCTTCAGAGTTGTATATTGACATTTTGTATTTTTTGATTATGCAATAACTTTCAGAAAATTATTTCGGATAAAACCAATGTTTGTTTTGGTTGTAGCTTATTTTAAAATATTCCTAAGAACATCAATAATATCCTTTCAAAATGGTTAATAAGAAAATATATAGATAAATGACAATCTAGCCCTACAAATTTGTATATTGGAATTCTATGTTTCTTAGTGGCACATTAACTTTCAAAAATTCATTTCGGATTACTCAAATGTTCATTGGTTGTATCTTAATTGAAAATATTCCTACAAACATGAATAATATTCATTAGATATAGTTGGGAAAACTATTTTAATAAATTATAATTTTGTCCTTCAAAGTTTGTGTATTGACATTTTGTGTTTCTTAATTGCTCAAGAACTTTCGAAAAATTATTTTGGATTACAAAATAATTCATTTGGGATGTATCTTATTTTAAAATATACCTAAGAACATGAATAATATTCATCAAAAATAGTTCGGGGAAACTATTTTGTCAAATTTCAATTTAGTACTTCAAAGTTTGTATATTAGAATTTTGTATTTCTTAATTGCTCAATAACTTTCAGAAAATCATTACGGATTATAAAAATATTCTTTTGGTCTGTATCTTATTTTAAAAATTTTCTAAGAACATAATAATATTCAGTAGAAACAATTCGTGAGAACTATTTTAATAAATTATGATTTAGTCCTCAAAGTCTTGTATATTGGCATTTCACATTTCTTAAATGCGTAATAAATTTTGAAAAATAATTCCAAATTACAAAAATATTTATTTAAGTTGTAGCTTATTTTATAATGTTTCCATGATGATAAATGATATTTAATAGAAGGGCGATTCTACTATCAGGTAAGCTTGTACTTTTGCTTGTACTGACTTAACAACAGGTACCTCTTAAAAGAATGTCATGTGTCCTTTTCGTTATTAAATTAAATAAAAACTCGAAAAAAATTGGTTACTCAAATACGAAAATGTCCTTGTACTAGGTACAAGGGGTACAAGGTGTTGGTACAAGGGGTACAAGGTGTTGAACTTTTCTAATATTAACATTTGGCCTAAACATAATTACATATATCAAATAAACCAACAATTAATCCAAAATTTCACTTCGAAATATCTTCTGCAAATAACAACTCGAAGATCTTCTGCAAAATTTCATTTTTAGAATCGATAATTTGAAGAACAACCCGAAGGTAAATAATTTTGTTTCCAGTTTCGATAATTGAAGAACATTATGTAAAAGATGTTTTCAATTACTTGTTCTTCATTCAGTTTCAATAATTTTGTTTCCAGTTTCGATAATTGAAGAACATTATGTGAAAGATGTTTCCAATTTCTTGTTCTTCATTCACTTTACCGTCCAATCATGTGGTAATGTGCATCCGTCATTTTGCTTTGTATCCGTGAGTTATAAGACATAGATACGATGAATGTTGTAATTCGAATTTGTCTATGTTAATCTTGATAATTCATTGATATTGTTTTTTAATCATAAAGAAGCACATTAGATGTTTGACGAAATGTCTGAACAGACCCTGAAGATGCAAAACCAATGAGCTGCAAAATACAGGTTGCCAAAAATTACAACCGAACAAGTTGTTTGTTGTTGTTGTAGTCATAAACAATGTTTATGATATCAATTTAACATTTTAGAATATGATTATGAGCTTTTGTCATAAACAAGCACAAACTATTCTTTAAAATGCAACTTGATATACATGTGCGATTTATCATGTTGCTTCTTGATAAACAAATTGCCCTATCTGTTATTTAATTTATCGTCATAATGAATTCATGAACATATATGTTAAAGATTGTTTTTTTATTATGGCAATGCAACACAAATAAAACTGTAAGAACATGAAGTGTACCAAAAAACTTCCCCAAAAAAATGCTGATTAATAAGAACATATTAAACATCCTTAAGAAAATTTTAATTAACAAAAGAACAATAGATTGTTCATTCATAAATGAGAAATGTAATTGTACGAAATATGTTTCTTATCACGATGAATATGTTTCTTTTTCAAATGAACATGTCAACTTATAAGATGAACATGATATGCTATAAGATAAATATGTTTTATTATCACCTGAATATGTTAAACTATAAGATGAACATGTTTTTTCTCAGATGAACTTCTTTATTAACACGATGAATATGTTTGATTTTGTACAAGATGAATAAGTTGATTTTGTATGAAATATGTTTCTTATCACGATGAATATGTTTCTTTGTAAAATGAACATGTAAACTTATAAGATGAACATGCTATGTTATAAGATAAATATGTTTTATTATCACCTAAATATGTTAAACTATAAGATGAACATGTTTTTTCTCAGATGAACATCTTTATTAACACGTTGGATATGTTTGATTTTGTACAAGATGAATAATTTGATTTTGTACGAAATATGTTTCTTATCATGATGAATATGTTTCTTTGTAAAATTAACATGTCAACTTATAAGATGAACATGTTATGTTATAAGATAAATATGTTTTATTATCACTTGAATATGTTAAACTATAAGACGAACATGTTTTTTCTCAGATGAACATCTTTATTAAGACAATGAATATGTTTGATTTTGTACAAGATCAATAAGTTGATTTTGTACGAAATATGTTTCTTATCACGATGAATATGTTTCTTTGCAAAATGAACATGTCAAATTATAAGATGAAGATGTTATGTTATAAGATGAATATGTTTTACTATCAGCTGAATATGTTCAATTATAGGATGAACATGTTTTTCTCTCATATGAACATGTTTATGAACACGATGAATATGTTTAATTTTGTGACTTACATCGAGGATCACCAGCCAAGGCTCACGCCCTGACTGCCATACATAAATAAAGGAGACACCCCATCGGGTACATTTTATAGCTACGGGGATAACCGTTCGACGGCCAGTATGGCTCACATCGAAGGCTACATGGTTCACAT